TATATATATAAGTTATTGGTTTATCAAGGATGTGCTCGCATGCCAACAACTCATACCGTCTCAGTATTCAGAGCACGGTCTGTACGCTTACATTCTCGTCTCGTTTGTTACATGACATCTATGACGAGCTCTTCATTCAATTTATAGCCATATCCGAAGCATCATTTCTGTACACGTTTATGTATCTACGTTAGCACCGATTCACTCATTCTCCCTCGCGACTATGTATAACCGTCTGCGGATCCAATTTAATAGCAGAAAAGAGTGCTGAAGAAGTTGTGCTCGCCAGTATAGCACGGCATGTGACGGAATGGGTGCCTGACAAACTACTCTGCCGTAGAATGGGTATCCACCTCGCGTCACAGGAAGGTACATTGGTTTAGCGATATCTTGAATCAATTGACTATCAGGGTTTCACAAAATGTTCATTTTTTTATTGGTTTAAGTGTACTTGGTTCACAATATGTTGATTTCTATTGGTTTAATTGTTCGTGGTTTACACTATGTTGATTGTTATTGGTTTAATTATACTTGGCTTAATTCAATTATATCTTAGTTTAATGGAATATTATGGTTTCACAATATGTTAATTTCTATTGGTTTACAATATGTTGATTTCTATAGGTTTAATTGTACTTGGTTTAGTTCAATTATATCTTAGATTAATTGAATATCTTGGTTTCACAATGTGTTAATTTCTATTGTTTTTATTGTACGTGATTTACATTGTTAGTTTCGATTGGTTGAATTGTACTTGGTTTAAATTATATATTCGTTTAATTGAATATCATGGTTTCACAAAATGTTAATTGGTTTAATTGTACTTGGTTTCTTGGTTTATTTCAATTCTATCTTGGTTTATCGTGCTATTTCTATTCATTTAGGGAGTGCTTGTATTATGCATGGTCAAGGGTATGTATAAGTTTATGGCGCTCCCACTAGACTGTGTTGTTCAGACGTGTAGAAAAGACTACCGGCAAGACTTACCCCTAATTATCACTTCAGCTTCAGCTCCGGAACTGATACTGAAGCTCATCCCCACAAGTATCCCAGATCTCGTTCAAAGTCATCAGAAGATAGAAACACACTGTCGGCCAATCTACCTACTAGACGTCTCTGATTGATGTCTTTCGCCTGAGCGCCACTGTGTTGTTTTTGACATGCATATACCTCGCTTAGTCGCTACTGACTAGTTTGTTCGTATCCTGCCGTTGCAGTATAACCTCCAATCTCTAGCGTGGGTTTCGCCGCATTTGGCAGCCTCTACAGAGTTCTCCGGTCTAATTTAAAGTGTTCTCCGGTCTAATTTACAGAGTTCTCCGGTCTAATTACACACCTGATTATGCCTTTCTTTCAATAGTTCATCCGTAACTATATCTCCGAATCATATCTCCGCGCCATCCCCTCTCATCTGTACACAGGTCTGTATGGCCTCATATCTTCTATACCTCCACATACTTGACTAACTTGACTTTCAATAGTCTCCTGGGCTCATATTGTCTGAATATCCACATGCTTCATGTACCAGTCATTGGAAAAAGGTCTGTAGGTAGACATATTTCCTGCACTGCCATACCTTTTGACTTGACTACTGTCTACTCATAGTAGTGGTCCTCGAGAACTCATAGTATATTTTCTTCGGTCTGCAGCCATTATACCTGAAGCGCCCATCAAGAAAGGCATCTCATTCCGAGAGGTGGACCCGTCGTACCGTAATGTACCGCTATCTCCTCACATCAAAGAGGAGAGCGAGACACATGGGGCACCCAGTGTCGATGCAGCCGGTGTCAAGGCAGAGCAGGTGGACGCAGAGTTGGACGACCCTACCCCAGCCCCCGTCAAGCCGCCTAAGGATCTGTTCTCAGCCGTGTTTGGCGACGACTCGGAGAGCGACTCTGACGCGGAAAGCAACGCGGATGAGACGATCGAGAAACACACAGTGAAAGTAGAGCCGGGTTTAAAAATAGAACAGAACCCGTCGGCGAGCATTGCAAAGGCCGCTGTAGATAGGGGGATTATTGGCCCCTCTATGCCCCCTTCAATCCCTTCTATTGCCCCCTCAATGGATGCCATAGCTGTCGTGGATACGCAGATGGCTGTGACCGCAAAACACAACGAGCAGCCGATATTGCTCGGCCGTCTTAAAGGTTTGTTGAGTATGTGCTGGTGCTGTGTCTTCTAATTATTATTATCTGATTGGTAGTTTCGCGTTCTATTTATATCCAACCATTCTCTGTCGCCCGGTGCATGAGACTGAGCTTGTGCGTGTTTAGGGAAATACGTTCGCACTACAAGAATTATAGCAGACGCGCCACCTTACAACCTCTTGTGCACAATTGCAAACGACGGGTATATGCGCACATTACACACTTCAGTCGTTCCGTACCGGAGTATGATCTTAGCCATCCGCGACACACGGATGCATGGATGTCCCGAGCATATTCACTTGATATATGTTTAAGTTTATCATATAAACTGAACATGACATTGTCACATATACCAAGCGCACCTCAAAAATCCTTGCGTATCGCGCTAGTCTATAAATTAATCCATGCGTATCTTGATTGTTAATTCGTATGAACTATACCAGGGCTGGCAGAACGAGGCATTGGTGGAGTGGCAAGTATACCTTCCGAGGCCCCACAGACACCACCCCGTCACGTGTTCGCGTTACGATCAAAACATGTGGGTAAGCCGTTAGACGGCAGCCTACACAATACGTCCAGTGACAGTTACAGCGACAGTAGCTCAGCTGATGCTTGGACTAGCGGGGGTGAAGAGGGGCCACGAAGGGGGTCTACAGGGGGCCGGAAAAGGGGGGTGGATAGGAGGAGTAAGGAGAACATATCGAGAAAAGACGACAGGAGTAGTAAAAAGCGTAAGCGGAGGCGGGAGGAGGAGAAGGAGAGGGAACGCAAACGGAGACGCAAAAAGAAGAAACGTAGAAACGAGGACAAAGATAGAAGCCACAAGGAGAAGAGGAGCAAAGACAAAGACAGGGATAGAAGTAACGACAAGCGCAAACACCGTCGCCATCCGAAGTAGCAGGTTTGAAGTGTATACATGCGACAACCCTAAACCCACAACCCTAAAACGTGTATTTAGTGTAAACCCAAGTCTGAACGTATTGAGAATGCAATCGATTGCATCACAACGCGCTGGAAACATGCTGTGCAGAGCCGGCGAGCAGTCGAATTAGTTGTCCATACATTAACGCAAATGTCAGCGGATTTAGGAATAAACGAGTCGACCGTGTCAGTGAAGTTTTTGTTATTATACTATTTTTATTATCAATGATTTTTTTGTCACATCGGGACCATATCGTCTACCTGTACGCGCATATACTTCCAGACTTTATAAGCGAATGCCGTGGCTCGATGTCAAGAGGCAATATGTGCCTCGCGATGGAAAAGGAGCATACGGTGATCATATACGGTGGTTTGCATTCAATGGGTATAATTGTGAATTGTATTTTAGTGGATCTTCACGTGGTCTGTATTGGAAAATAGCAGCTTTAACATCTACGTACTGTGCCTACACAATACATACAGTATGAACTTCCACGGCTAATTTGCACTGTTCGGCGAGCAGTTGAAAGAGTTGTTCGCACATTAACGAATACAGTGGGCGAATTAACGTGTTTTCTACTGCCAATTCGCTTCTACTTTGCGTTCATGTATGCGAATATCATGAAACCCATGGGTCGATTTGATGGCACAGCTTTCTTTCTGTCCTGTCCTGCAAGAGTTAAGTAACAATAAGAATTAGTTCAGCTATCTGTTTAGTAGAAATGAGAATAGGTCAGCAAGAAAATATCAAAATATCAACACAAACCCCCCAATCTGGTTAGTAAAAGAAATAGGTCAGCAAGAACATAATTAAATATTGAAAGAAAAACTATAAGTGAAATAAAATACTTAAATATTCAAGTACCTATATTGTGAAATATAATGGGTGGAGTCATGGGCCGCAGTAGATATTCGAAGTACGGTTTGCATTTAAGGCACGGACCTACCCCGGGTATGTCCTTTTCAAGTTACAACTTACCATTTCAATTTCGATCTTGACAACAACAGCCAAAAAATCCCTGAAATCCTTATTCAAAATTTTTATTCGGTATCAAACCACTTACCGGTAGCCAATTCCAATTTTGATAAGAGCCAAAAACCCCTGAAATCCTACTTCATTTCTTTAATTCAGGTTTAAACCTCTTCAAGTGTAGCGTACTACGGATATCTAACTATTGGCCGGTATCAAACTACCAGAACAACCTACTAGTATCAAACTATGTACTGGTGTCAAACTATTTACTGAGACAGCTGACTGAAACGAGTTCTTCAATTACGCGAACCTGCGGACGCCTCGGCCTTTCGAGCTTATAAAAAGGATTATATCATCGGGTACGATCCCTCTGTTGGTTTACTTCCGACCTCCTCTCACTGTTCAGGATCATGACTGATGCATTGCAAACTGTGGTGCAGAGTAGTGCGTTGCAGATTATTTGCTTCGCTTTGCAGATTAATTGCTTCGCAGATTGATTTCAAATTAAACGCTTCGCGAATTAGTTGCCGCCCGCTGGTGCTTTGGTTGAAGACCCAACATCTAGCAGGTCTTTAGCCAGCATCTTCTGAGGACAGGCTTGCTTCAACCAAGGATGCTGTAGGGGTTTAGGGTTGAATAACTCAGATTAGGTTGGAAGATATCAAATAGGAAAATATTGACGATAGATATATTTTAGATTTCGATTTACTATATATAGGTCTCCCGATCGTGTCCATATCTTTTTGCCAACGCCAACTCCTACCAATCGACAAGAAAGCATCCAAGTTGGGTCTTAGCATTAACCGAGTGTTGTAGATTGCAAGAGCGCAAACTATTCAAGACTGTAAAAGCTATACTGCATCTACAAATTGTCTAAATTACGCAACTTCAGCTGCAACCGGGTCAACCTGCATGAATTCCTCATACTGCTCTAGCCGCATAGCCTCAGTTGTACTCAATTAGAAATACAGGAAGAATCGAACACAGTAGATATACAGTCTGGAACGAATATCCTAGTAGATACACTGGAAGGAACGGGCACACAGGAAGACATAGGCTATTGTCCTATTGTCATGACAGAAATCATACATTGAGCAGCTCTGCCGCGGTCCTCCTCTTCTCCGCGTCCACAGTCAGGCAGGCACCGAGGAAGTTGAGCAGCTCGACAGAACACTTCTCGGGATGCTTGAGCTCGGGGGTGCCGATGGTAGTGATCATATACAAGGCCTAGGGAAGGACCGAATGGATATCGCGGTTTTAGACGAGAGTAAGAGTATGCTGGGGGGTTGCAGGTTTACAAATGTTAGCTTCAAGTACAAGACCTGTAGATAATGCGCGTTGTATGTGAAGAGGACATGAACAACGGTATTCGATTTGAGGGCATAGGCGGGTGACTGCGACCCAATCGTATCTCGACAAAAACGGTAAAGAACCACACCAACTCTTACACAACTGACATCTCCGCGATATTGAACAATCGCATCAATCAAATGTACTCCAACATAAACAATCAGCAGCTCGCGAAATACCAAGCAAGGTCATAACAGCAGCCCACAAATATAACAGCAGCCTACAACGAGTAAAGCAATGATTACTTTATAATCACGGAGACACATTACAAACGGCATAAGACATCAGCGATATATGAAGTTCATATACAACTATCACCACTGGCCAAGCTTCGACTCACCTTGAGTGGCTCCTCATCCAGGTATGGTGGCTCCCCTTCAATCATCTCTATAATCATAATAGCCAGAGACCATATGTCGACCTTTGGTCCGTATGCGGACTGCTTCACAACTTCTGGGGCCATCCAGTAGGGTGTGCCTACCATGGTGTATCTTGCGTTGTCTTCAGGCGTCAGACTCGCGCAGAAACCAAAGTCGGCTATGGTGGAGAAACGATTTAGGCGGATACCGTAGGACAGTTAGGAGCAGAGTCAAGAGGAGTGTTCGAGTAAAATGAAGGTAGGTGGCAGCCGACAAATGAATGAAAAGATTCAATGACAAACCCCAAATATTATGATAGACCTCCATAGGTATTTGCTAAGGTAGAGTTTTCTACTGTGTACACATATAATACAAAATCTTGTGCAAAAGTATCTTCTTATTCGTAGCACTCCACATATTAATCATAATTTCTTATGTCATCTTGTGCCTAGTACCCCACTTACTTATTTTAACGTTGCCGTGATTATCCAGCAAGCAGTTATCACTCTTGATGTCGCGATGGATGATGCCTTGCTTGTGCAAGTGATCTAGGCCATTGAGGGTCTGCTTCACAATGCACGCCATGTGGCTTTCGGGTATTGTGCAGAAGTTGGCTTCGATTGTGTCAGTCAGTGAACCACCCTGCATATACTCCATCACCACCTGCGTTACGGAGGGGGTAGGTTGTAGAAACGCGGAGGCAGATGAGCTTTTCGATTCTTCGCTCCCAGAAACCAATTCCAATCGAGACAATACGTAATCGTTGGATAGTCAATAGTGGTCAATCTATCTACAAAATCGATCGGAAATTGTACTCCAGGCGGCTGCCTCATTTGTTAGCACATCTTGACGTTTATAATCAGAAACTAATTTTCAGTCGTGTTGAATGGGGCCTTCAGTCTAATTGCTGAGAAAAAAATACTCATGTGTAGCAAGGTGCTTCATATGGGTGCCCGTGGTACATGTAGCAATAAAGAAAAAAATTGCCATAGCTAGGCAACGAAGCATTTGTGACAAAACCTCTACAAAGAACTCTAGATGCTCCAGATGCAACATAAAAATCTAGATACACTAGATGTAACAAAAAATCCTAGATGCTCTAGATGTATTTTAGATATATTTCGATATGTATCACGACAATTGCTTTGAATAGCAGTTAAGAAACAGGTAGTGGGCACACACGGTTCGCACAAGACTTACCCAGAGAACATCCTCCACCAGAAAGCTCTCAATATAATTCACAATGTTTGGATTCTGACTGTCTCTCATCACTTCAATCTCATTAGCAATCAGATCGATGCGATCTTGTTCTTTAAGTTTCATCTCCTTCAACGCTACCACGCCCGTTCCATCCTTTTTCGTGGCGCTGTAAACGCACCCCGAGGCCCTGAATTAGGAAGTAGCATAACCGTTGAACGTGTTGAATGAATACACAGAGTGAACCGAATATCGACAGCTCCGACTACCTTTTTAGTACAACCCCGAACACCGTTCATTCGTCGATTGAAAGAATAAACGGATAAAAATTAGAATTTGGGGTTGTCAATAAAAATGTTGACAACCCCAATTATCATTTTCAGTCTTAGTTGGTATCATATTAAAGATCCGAGAACATAAATCAAGATGGCCATGACAATACAGACTAACGACTCAGCGTAGTAACTGACAGGCCAATAAACTGTACCAATAAGCACTGGGAATATCAGTCATACCCTTTGCCGACAACTACTGCGCCCGTGTAGACTTCAAGAGGATTTCCTTCAAACTTGGCCACATTCCCTGTTGAATAATGACAGTAAATCGCGCCGGGTTTCAGTGAGCTGTCACACTGAGCAGAAAACCGATTTGCTTGCGCATGTAAGAGATTCTAAACAAAGTGGATGGTAATATAGTGCGGCAAGTATGCGAGATATAAAAGAGACTTATCAAGACGCTCAAAACAATACTTGAATTCTGAATTTAGCACAGCATGAAATTTGGCACCGCACGGAAAAAGTTGTATTCCATATATTTATGGCACAGTGCGTGATATTCCATATCTCTATACATACATATTCAAATATCTATACATACATATTCAAATATCTATACATATATTCCAAATACCTATACGTATAGCGCAAATATATATACATGTATTCCAAATATCTATACATGTATTCCAAATATCTATACAAATATTTCAAATATCTATACATAGAGATATTCCAAATATCTATACACATATTCCGGATACCGATACAGTTTTTCCCAATATATATACATATATTCCAAACATCTATACTTATATCTATACATACATCTGTTATATTTTATAAATAATATATACATAGATATATAAAATATCTAGTAAAACACCATGAGGATGAGTACCCTATACATACATATAAAATATCTAGGCACAGTACCATATGCCTACATACATAGTCGCTTCTTCAGCTCATAGAACGGAGTATCTGACGGTAGATCGAAGACTCTCTTGGGGGTGGCAACAACCGGAGAGGCAGTTGTTTTGTCTATAGAATTCTTCGATGGACGAGGACTGATTGTCGTTGCGCTGTTGGCATCGCTCTGACTAGTATGGCTTGAATCCGAGCCAGTGGAACCAGTTTTGTATCGCCGTTGCTCGATTTCTGAAGAGGTTTTAGTAAAAAATTAGGTCAGTACCCACACGAAGGTATTAAATGGGTGAAGAAGCCTAGAAGTTGGAAAATCGGATTGTTTTCGTGTCCTCGTCCGTATTTTTAATTAAATCGCTATATCCTTACATTGTGCACAGACATGTCTAGGAAGGGAGTATGAACAAACGTGCTGACCCTGTGAATACATTCGCATTGATACTGCCAATACTACGCGTACTACTATTGTCAGTACTATCTTATCTGTATATATATATGATACCTTTCTTCCACCTGGGTTCGGCAGGGCTAATTTCAGGCTCCTCGACGGCTATGTTGTTCTTCTCTGACATTAGAAGCACGCTGCTCTTCCGATCGTTCGCAGGGACCAATGGGGCAAGCCCCTCATTGTACGTCGAGTGGGTGAACTTCCTGAACTCAGAGATTGGGAAGACATTTTCTTTCAGCTTAGTTGCCAAGCAACATACTTTTCCGATTAACTCCAATAAATCAAGCAGATATATTTATCCACTCATGTACAGGACTCGAACGTTACAAACAATTGTCGAGACGAAGAATGGGTTCAACCTGATTGAGTATTTTCCAAGCTAGCTAGATATTCCGGACTGCCTCTCGACAATGAACCCCTTTGAGATAATATCGAGGCTCGTTAATACAGAGTGATATAGAACACAAGGAACGATTAGACTTACGAGTAGACCCGGTCGAAGTCATCACTCATATGCACTGAGTTCTTGGCGTAGAATTGAAGCACATCAAGCACGGCCTGGGGGTCTTTGGCTTGCAAGTCTTTGGAGATGTTGGAGGTCTCCAGCATGGCGCTCCAGGCTTTCGGTAAGTTCTGTGACAGTAGAAGCGGAAATGGGGCAAGGGTTAGCGCGGAAAGTTTGAATGCTAGAGATGACCAGTCTACACAAACACACGTATGTTCAGTTGTTTCCTGCTCACAGTGTACAGAACATGCATGTTTGCTGTGTGATTGTATGTACTGTTATGTATTTGTTGTAAAACCTAACCGCAACCACTCTAATCACCTTATCAAACAAACGATCGGTAACAGTTCGCTTTTCACTGTTCATCTGTCTATATACTTCCTCACGGCCATCCCCTCAATCTACAACGTGGCATACTTCACTAAAGACCCATAAACGAGTCTATTCAAGATTTAAGACCAGGTCTTCAACATATATTTACATACATCAGATAGTCACATAGTTTAAGTTATAGCATATAGTCATGTACTTAGGTTAAAAGGTCAGCTGGTGTTCCTTACCATGAAAGCATTGTTGTCCGTGTCGAACTGCACCACCTCTGGCATGGCTGGTTGCTTCTTCTTGGCATCCTCCACTGTGGGACTACTCGCCAGCGTTACCTCCTCATGAGACAGCAGAGACGTTTGCTTCTGAATCTTCTGTGCCGAGTGTATCTACGCAGTGTGAATAACGTGAGATATGTCATGAGATGAGTTGTGGAAATCATGTCATGAGGTGAGTATTTGTGAAGTGTCTGTGGAGGATATCTTTGTAACAACCTGAGAGATTACTGAACTAGACCATCAGCAACCGGTCTACACACCTTCTCGATCTCAGAAATCCATTTTTCCACAGTTTTCGGGTCAAAGTTGATGAGGTACTGCACTTTATCTGCCGTGATAACTTGCAGGCAATCCCGTTTACTCCGCGATGTCTTCACGTACGCGACCTGACATCCGCGTATCGAAATTTCCTTATCGATGCCGGTGGAGCTCTGTAGGTATGTTGCCAGGTAAACATGTTGTCAATACTCTACTATAGCATCATCGCAATAAAAAGTACAGAAGATAAACAAGCTGTTGAAACTATGCAGATATGAAATTAGGTTGTCCTACCATGCTCATATACAGACCCGTTTTTCAGTAGCAAATTTGAATAAGCGTACGTTTAATACTTTCGGGATCTAAATACTAGACTACCCTTTTTACGTCTGTGTTTGATCGTAAAATGGGATGATTTCATCTGACTGCGTAGATATCATGTATGCAGCTGATTTATCTTCATACGTGGGTAAGTTTATACATTGTCAACACAGTATGCAGTTTTTTAGCCGCAATAAACTTTAATTAAACAAACACAAGACAATCACTATGCGTGGTGCAGGTAATTCTGATTCGAACCAAATATCGTATTAGGAAGTTAAAAGTTGAATACTTTTGCACATATGCCAGATATAATCCTACATTAGTCCGAAGGTACTTTCATATATTATATGCACATGTTTGCTATGGATAGACAATAAACAAAACCAATATGCACTCGTATCTATTTCAATCTAAATATGAAATATATAAAGCCAGCTATGGAAGCATGTACACAGTATATGTCTCTGTACATGATAGCATACAAATACATAGCAAACTGAATGTATATATACATACATAAATATACGATACAGGTACTAATAGGACAACATTTTCGACACTTTCGACATTATATAGATATAGATA